ACCCCATTTCACAGAGGGGGAAACTGAAGCTCAGAGGGGAAGTAATGGAGGGTCAGTGGCAGAGGGGGGACTGCCCGATTCTAAAGCTGGCCTGTATCCACTGTGCTAGCCCTGGGGAAGAAACACTTGAGGGCCTGCTGTCTGACTCCAGGCTCGCCTTCCACCATGCCACAGCCACGCCTCTCCACTGGACTGAGGGCAGTGGTAATGACTCCCCTCTGTCACCCCACCCATCTGTCACCTGGTATCAGCTGCCTGTTAGATTCCCCAGCTCCAGGCCTGGCTCTGCCACTCCCTCCCCATGTGATCTTGGAAGGTTTCTCCCCTCTCTGGCCCTCAGTTTCCCTGAAGGTGCTTGGCAGATGCCAAGTACATATCTGTTGAATATCATTATGATCCCTGGTTGAGGCTCAGAGAGAGGAAGTCACTTGCTTAAGGTCACACAGCTGAGAGATGGCAGAGTCAGCTCTGGAACCCAGGGTGACTTGATCCCTGAACCACTTAGAACCACTCTGCCATACTGCCTTCCTGGACCAGTTAGTGAAGTCCACCTCAAGCACTGTTAGGGTGAACGGAGGCGAGGATACATTCTGCCGGCCAGCCCTACGGTGGAAACTTCTTAACCACTCCCCGCGGCACTCAGCTCCTGGCTTGTTGCCTGAACGCCGCCTGCATGGCATTGGTGGACGCAGGTGTGCCCATGCGGGCCCTCTTCTGTGGGGTCACCTGTGCCCTGTACTCTGATGGGACCCTCGTGCTGGACCCCACGGCCAAGCAGGAAAAGGTAGGTATGAAGCCCAGGGTGGCGAGGGCCGTGGGCAGACGCACCTGCTTCTCCACAACATTCGGCCCCTACCACCTCAGTCCCAGCTGGCAAGCTCTGCTCTGTTCATCGGGGCAAGTGCTAGAAACCCAGCTCAAACCCGCTTAAGCAAGAAGGGAATTTACTGACATTCAGGATCAAACTCAGAAAGAACGGAGGTCTGGCTAGAGCCAGGGCCTCACATGCCAACCGAGTGTTTTCTGCTTCATTTCTCAGTCCCTGATCTTTTCTGCACATCAGCTCCATCCCCCCTGGCCAGTGTCTCTCCTGAGGTTGCGACTGGCCCCTTAAGCTCCCTGCTTCCCTCTTAAGAGGCTCAAAAGCAGAGGAGGAGAGAAGAGAGCTTTCCTCATCAGCTCAAGTTCACAGTGTCCTAGGGCTCTGGTTATTCTGAGTTATTCACCCAGGGCTATAATGATCATGTCCAGTCAGGAAAGCAGAAACCACTTGGGGGATTTCAGACAGGGAATTTGATGCAGGGAACTGGTTACAACAGTGTTGGAAGAGCTGAAGGAGCAAAATGAAAGAGGCGAGGACACCCAGAGATGAGAGCCTCTCCCAGCCCTGGGCGAAGCCTGTGAGCCAGCCCCAGCTCTGTGCTGTTGAGGCTCTGTCACAGTTCTGGATGCACAAAAGAAGTCCTGGCTTTGCCCTGACTGTTGGAGTGAGGAGCAGGGTGCTGTTCTCCCTCTCCTTCCAGTCTCCCACCAGATTACTGCTAGAATCTAACTGGCAAGGGACTCTGGGAAATAGCTTGCCAGCTGCCAGCCCCCTCAGTACAGAGTGTGGAAGGGGCCAGGAGGCTGAGGGGCGCCACGTAAATGACGCACTGTGGCTATCCCTATGGGGCAGGAGTGCTGTGCTCGGAAGCCCCTGTCAGAACCGTGTGGTTGGAATCAGGTGTGGGGAGCAATTCCACAAAAGGCAAGGCCGAGAGTGTTCCCGGGGAAGCAGGGAAGAGGTGGAATGCAGACAAAACAACAGCTACACTTGATGCCCCAGTGCCTGGCTGTGGGAAGGGCGAGGCCCGGGTCCCCCACCTTCTTCCCCTCGTCTCTAGGAGGCCCAGGCAGTCCTGACCTTTGCACTCGAGAGCGTGGAACGGAAGCTACTCATGTCCACCACCAAGGGGCTCTACTCAGATGCTGAGGTACCAGTGTGTGGAGGGGGGTGAACGCCAGATCCTTCCCTCCCATCTGACATGAGGTCTTGTCCTAAACCTGCCCCCTACTGTGAGAGGTTTAAGCAGAGCCCCTTGCATCCTTTCTGTAAACAGGAGTTTTTGAACTTTGTAGCCACAGAAACTTTTGTGGGAATTTGAAAGGGAAGCCCAATTATGAGATAGGAAAAGAGAGGAGAAGCTCAGGTTGAAATCAGGAGGTGGGGGCATCTGAAGTCCCCCCCCGCCCCCCCAGCTTCCAGCTCAGAGTGGTACACACCCAGAATTCCAAGTCTCTGAAGAACAGTTTGGAAACAGTTGAGCCAAATGGTCTCCAAGAGCATTGCCAACCGGACCTCCTGTGAATCTAGGAATACGTGGCAGTAACGATTTAGGGTCTCACATTCCATGGCTTTTAAGATTATTTGGAGTCACAGGGCCTGTGGCTTTAAAGCTCCAGATCTCTCCAATTCTGGAGCTCTCCGAGGTTGAGGTCTCTTCTGGGTGTCAGGATGCCAGATCCCATTGGTGTGAGGACCTGGAGCTGCTCTGACCCTCGAAGCCCTCACCTCTTTTTTTCTCCCCTTTCCCTCTAAGAAAGCTCATGAAGTGGGAAAGAAGGAAATGTACTTGGCATAATCCCCTTACCACCTGCCTCACCTTGGGGGGAGGGGCTCCAGGTGAAGGGGGAGGTGGTAGGTGTGGGGCTCTGGGAATCAGGTGGGGGCGGGCGGAAGCTCTTGGGCCGGCCTGGCCCTGTGTGTGGGTGCACGGATGGTCCCCCAGCACTGACCAGTCTCTCCCCCTCCCAGCTCCAGCAGTGCCTGGCTGCAGCCCAGGCCGCCTCACAGCACGTCTTCTGCTTCTACCGGGAATCGCTACAGAGGCGGTACTCCAAGAGCTGAGGCGAGCTGGGGCAGGGCGCCCCTCCCGCGGCCTCCACCCACTACCTCCAGTGCAAAATAAACCAGTGGCCCAGCCTCTGTCCTTGTGTGCCCGGTGAGCTTGTGGTCCTGCCAAGAGAGCGTGGCTACAGCCCCTCGGTCTGGGGTCACAGACCCCATCCCTATCCACCCCTGGGAAAACACTCCTAGCACTGCACATTTATTGAATGAATTCATTCAGTCTAACAAATACCTGTTGAGCACCCACTGTGTGCAGGCCCTGCTAGGTGCTGAGGACTGAGCAGTGAACAAGACCTAGGTCCCGGGTTCGAGGAGCAGTGGGGTGATGGACAAATAAATTGGTGTTTGTCAGGTAGTGGTGAATGCTATGAAAAAACAAAAAGCGGGGAAGAGGGGTTTGGGTGAGTTCGTTTGGGCAGGGTGAATTTAATACATCAGTCAGGGACGCCTTCACAGAGAGTGGATGTCTGAGGGAAGCCCGGGAGGAGGCCAAAGAGCCAGCTCATCCGTGTGTGAGCGACAGGCCTCAGGCAGAGCCCTGCGGAGGGTCAAGGACCAGCAAGGCAGCCAGTGTGGCTGGAGCGGAGCAAGTAAGGGCAGGAGAGGGAGGAGATGGGTCAAGGGAGGGAATGGGCCTCGGAAAGGAGTCTGGCTCTGAGCGCTGCTGTTACCCGCCCAACAACCCTGGGAGGCAGGGCTGTTAGAGTTCCCTTTTTAGATGAGGAATCAAGCCCAGAAGCCGGTTGGCTGCCAGAGGTCACCAGCTAGTCAGGAGGTCACCAGCTAGTCAGCAATGGAGCATGGGTCCCACCCAGAGCCCGGTCCCAGAGCCCTGACTGTTCAGACAAACCCAGGGAGACACCAGCACACTGGACTACAATGCCCATCTCTAAACAGAGGTGGTTGAGGCCCACTGGTTCTCAGGGGTGGTGGCACCCCCTAAGGGGCATACGGAAATATGGGGGACATTTTTAGTTGCCATTTGCTTGCAGGCGCCCCCTCCTATTTAGCGTCCAGGAGCCAAGAACAGGCGAGCATCCTGCAAGGAATAACTCCCACAGCTGGGCCACATGGCCGCCGGATCCTGTCTGCCACTGCCGTCTGGGGGTTTATGATGAAAATGGCGCATCTGGCGGGCCCTACACATACTCAGGCAGTTCTCACAATTGCCCCAGTAACCGAGAAGGAAACACATAAGTATCTTGAGCTTGAAATTTTGCTCCATGAGATGCTCAGGGGAATGCTAGATGGGGAATAGTGTTTTCTTCTAGCAAGATCCACTGGCATGGCATTAAAGGGAGAGAGAAAACTAAACCACCTCTCACTCCATTACTTGGTAGTATTGGGGTCCCAGTTAGTGAGCACTTACTGTGTGCCTCTGCTAAGGGCTCATGGCAGAGTCAGTTTTGCCTGCTGGGTGCCAGCACTTTGATGTCACTTTAGGGCTCCATCCGTCTCCCCATCTCAGGCCAGTGGATGGGGCTGCCTCCCACCCGAGGCGGGCCAATGAGGGGGCGCCTGGGGAAGAGGACCTCTGGGGTCCCTGAGCTGCCGGGCCATTTGTCTCCTCCAGAAGGGGGAGCCGGCATGGAATGAAGCCAGCAGAGGAGAGGAGGGCCAAGAGATGGAGAGGCCAGACCATTTCATTTGAGCCCCTGAATCCAGTTTTACCTCAGCTTTCTTCCCTGTTACATAAGGCAGTTCGAGTTGAGTTTCTGTCTCTTGCTGCCCAAAGAGCTCAGGGAGACTGTTGTTCACATGTATGACCCATTTGGTCCTTGCCACAGCTCCGGGGTGTGGGGAAAATTAATCCCATTTTGCAGATGAGGAAAAGTGAGGCTCAAAAAGGAGTCACTTGGGCCAAGGTTAACAGCTCATATGTGGAGTAAAGACTTGGAACCGGCTCTCTCTAATTCACTACTGAGCACCCCCGTTGTGAAGAGAACATCTAATTTGGAAACCCTCCCCCCTCGGATTCCCCCGTCTCCGGCTCTGAGGTGTCCAGGAACACCCTGGGGACAGCCTGTCACCCTGGCCAGTCCGTTCCTGGTCTCAGGCGCTCCCAGCCCTTTCCACCTTCCCACACACACACAGACAGACACAGGTTTGGCTGCAAGAGTGTCTGGCGTTTAATCTCACGTTGCGGCGGCCAGGAAGGCGAGGGGGTGGTCCAGCTCACTCCCGATTCCGGATGCCGCCGCCGCCGCCTCATCCCCCCGGATTCTCCACTCTGACCGCGGGCGCGCTGGGCTGCCGGCCTCTGGGTTCACAGTGGGGGCCGCGGGGCCCACTAGGGCGGGTCTCGGGAGGCGAGGTAGGCGGCCAGGGTCACCAGGGCGGCCGCGTAAGTGCACACGCCCAGCCCCACAGCCAGGACCCCCAGCAGGAAGGCGCGGCGGGAGGCGGCCCCTGCCCCCTGGACGTCCCCCTCGGCCCAAGCCTTGTTGGTCTGTGGAGGCGTTGGGCAGCGGTGACTCAGGCATCCCCTCACCCCACCCTGCTTCCCGCAGCCCTAGTCCCTCCCCCACCCGACACACCCCTGTATTTATTCATATATTACAAAAAAAACTAGGGAGTACCACTGTGGGTCACGCACAGCTGGGCACTGGGGGTACGAGTGACTAATAAAAATATACTATTACTAGATGCCACTGTTCCAACTCATTTTATCCTCACAATGACCCTGAGGTAGGAACTATTCCCTTTTCACGGATGAGGCAAATGAGGCGCAGGGAAGTTCAGTGGCTTGCCCAAAATCTTAAGAGTGTGACAGACCTAGGATCTGACTTCAGGTTCTTCACCACCACTCCACTCCCCTCCTCATTTTACCCCCGAATGTCTCTGTGCGAATCCTTCGCTCCATCTCTATTCCCCCCCACCCCCCGGCAGAGCTCCTCTGTTTTGTTTTCTTTTGAATGCATTTTTCTCTTTTATATCCAGTCCCCTCCCAATCCCACACACAGACTGACCTTCTGGGCTAGGCAGAAGGCGGCAATGCCCACGGGCCAGAAGCAGCACAGCATGGAGAAGACGGCCAAGCCGAGGTGGTCGTGGGGTAGGAGCGGCGAGAGAAGGCTGCCCCCATCCCAGTCTGAGTCACTGTCACTGGATGACACATCCTATGGGCAAGAGAGGGCCTGGTGGGCATCTCCACCCATCTTCCCTGCCTCACTGCTCTGCTCCCCATAGCCCCCAAAGACCAATACCAGGGCCTCCCCAGAAACACCAAGACAGAAAAACGTCCAGAGGATAGGCTCTTAACTGTTCTACATCTGGATCCCCATGAGGGGAAGCTGTGAGCCCTGTCTCCAGAGAAAAGCCCCACCCACACCCAAAGTTTTGAGTTCATTTTCAAGGAGTTCACCAGTCCAATCATGGATACTGCAATTGCTTATAATCTCTGAGTTGAAAACCCCTGAAGCAGAGACAGCCACCATCGGGGACAGGAACCTGCAAAAAGATGGAGATTAGGGGAGGCAGCTCTGGTGGCCTAAATGTCTAGGACAAACCCGTCTGCTGAAACCTATAAATTCTAGATAAAAAATACATATTTTAAAATCTTGCATCAGGGGCCGGCTCCGTGGCTTAGCGGTTAAGTGTGCGCGCTCTGATGCTGGCGGCCCGGGTTCGGATCCCGGGCACGCCCCAAGGCACCACTTCTCCGTCCAACGCGAGGCCGAGTCCCACGTACAGCAACTAGAAGGATGTGAACCTATGACATACAACTATCTACTGGGGCTTTGGGGGAAAAAAATGAATAAATAAAATCTTTAAAATCTTGCATCAAATAGCTCACAAGATTTTAAGGAGTTACTATAAGGCCAAAAATTAAGTGAAAAATCAAGGTTAACTTAACAAAGAGGTCGAGGCCGGCCCCATGGCGTAGCAGTTAAGTGCCCGCGCTCCGCTGCTGGCGGCCCCGGGTTCGGATCCCGGGCACCACCGATGCACCGCTTGTCAGGCCATGCTGTGGCAGCGTCCCATATAAAGTAGAGGAAGATGGGCACAAATGTTAGCCCAGGGCCCATCTTCCTCAGCAAAAAGAGGAGGATTGGCATGGATGTTAGCTCAGAGCTGATCTTCCTCACAAAAAAAAAAAAATTTAACAAAGAGGTCAAACGAACAGCGAAGGTCCCTTTCACCCTGCAGGCATTTGCCAATCCCAGAAAAATTAACCTTTCATTCAAACCTCGAACTAGATTAAAAATGATCTCTAACTGGGAGTACCCCCAGGCAGCTGACAGAAGCAAACCAAATCCACTCTGGAGGAAAGTACCTTCATTCTAGGCCTCAAAACAATTTTTCCTAAGAATAATTTTTTAAATATGATGACCAGAATGCAGTCAAAGATAATCAAGCACACAAGGAACGGTGAATGAGAACTAGCAGAACCAATAAGGCCCTCGATGTCTTCAAATAATGGAATTATCAGACACATACAGTGTCAAGGTGATGCTTACTGCCACAATGTGGCAGAATGTGTTTCCAAAAATGGCCACAACCACCTCTCCCATCCTGCATGCTTTTCTTAGATTGTGACTGATACTGTTCCCATCAACGGGTGAGGTCTCTGTCCTCTTTCCTTGAGTCTAAGGAGGCTGTGACTCACGCGTAATTGATAGAATGTGATGGAAATAATGCCACAGGGCTTCCGAGCCAAAGTCAGAAAAGGGGGCAGTTTCTGCTTTGCTGAAACACAGGTGCTGGAGGCTGGAGGCACGTAAGCAGTGTGACGGCCGTGAAGCCGCCATGCTGTGAGGAAGCCCAAACCAGCGACATAGGGAGACCCACATAGAGACCCTCAGACTACATGAAGAGAGAGATACCCAGCCAGCCCCCAACTGCTTCAGCCCGTGACGGTTCCAGCTCTAGCCACCGGCTGACTGCAACCTCATGAAAGACCCTGAGGCAGAACCACCAACGGAGTCCTTCCCAAATTCCCGACCCATAGAAACCATGAGCCATCATAATGATTGTTGTTGTTTTAAGCTACTAAATTTTGTGGTGATTTCTTTTTTGTGTGTGTGAGGAAGACCGGCCCTGAGCTAACATCCATGCCAATCCTCCTCTTTTTGCTGAGGAAGACTGGCCCTGGGCTAACATCCATGCCCACTTTATGTGGGACACCGCCACAGCATGGCCTGACAAGCAGCGTGTCGGTGTGCGCCTGGGATCCGAACCGGCGAACCCCGGGCCACCGTAGCAGAGCGTGCACTTAACCGCTTGCACCACCGGGCCAGCCCCATGTGGTGATTTCTTATACAGCAATAGCAACCTGAAAACCATGTTTAAGAAATAAAAGACTGGGGCTGGCCGGTGGCACAAGTGGTTAAGTGCATGCGCTCTGCTTCATTGGCCAATCTTCCTCAGCAAAAAGAGGAGGATTGGCAACAGATGTTAGCTAATCTTCCTCACAAAACAAAACAAAACAAAAAAAGAAATAAAAGACAAATTTGACAATGTGTACAAGGAATGAGAAATTATAAAAAGTGACCTTAAGGAGGCAGGCCAGTGGTGTAGTGGTTAAGTTCAGTTCGGTTGCCAGGCACAGACCTACACCACTCAGTGGCAGCCATGTTGTGGCGGCAACCCACATACAAAATAGAGGAAAGATTGGTACAGATGTTAGCTCATAGCCAATCTTTCTCAAGCAAAAAGAGGAAGATTGGTAACAGATGTTAGCTCAGGGCCAATCTTCCTCACCAAAAAAAAAAAAAAAAGTGACATTAATTTGAAAAAAGACACCAGGGCCAACAGATGCCAGAGATGTGTCCGCTCTGGAGACAGAGGGACACATGGAGAGCCAGGGAGTCAGAAATCAGAGGGAAGATGGAGAGCCAAAGGCAAAAGGACAAAGATGAGAGACACATCTGGAGAGAAAAAGGTAAAGAAACCAGGGGAGATGTAGCACAGGAAAAACCATAACCTGAAAAAGTGAGACTCCAGGCCGAAGGCAGATACCCCAGCCAGGTTGCCAGATGTTGACCACAGCTGGGTTGGCCTCTAGCCCCCTCCCCCTGCTCCCACAAAGGCCTACCTCAAGGTCGGGGGGCCCTGGCTCCCCCAGGCTGGCGCTCACAGAGGGAAGAGGTGGTAGGCACTGCCAACCCCTCAGCGACTCCGCAAAGGCTGTCTCTCGAAAGGGAGGCCCCAGCTCAGGCTCCCCAGTTTTCTGGACAGCCGGCTCGCAGCCCACGCCCGCCAGCAGAGGCCGTTGGAGCTCTCGGAGACTGGGGCTCTCCATGGCTGGGGAGAGGCTCTTCTGGGAGGGGTGTCCTGGGGGTAGGGGAAAGAAAAAGACAAGTTGTAAAAGTCTCCCCTTGCTCCTTCCCCTGACTCCTGACTCTGGAGAGACTCCAGGCAGAGACTAGTTAGTTCAACAACCCTCAGACCCATTTACAGATAGTAAAACTGAGGCCCAGAGCATAAAAGAGGCTGGGCCAAGTTGGGAAGAGAACTCAGGGGTCTGCACATTCAATTCTGGGCATCTCTCTCCTCAAGTTAAACCACTTACCTGTTGCACACTTATTCCAAATCCTGCCTTACACACTTACTTGCCCCATGAACTTAACACACCCATCCTGGGTTCACATACCCATCCCTCTCACCTACACCCATCCCCAATGACACTTTGCACTTCACTCTAGTCCACACACCCCCTGTTGCCACGGAAGCCTGCACACTCTGAATACCCAAGTCCCCTGCCACACCCACCCATTCAGGCAAGCCTAACCCCCACCACCGCCCACTCATCTCCCAAGGGACTCCCGGCATACTTGCCCCAGACAACATCAGCTTCCAGAAAACACCGCTCCGGAGCCCCCAACCTTCTTACACACTCATCCCAAGTGACTCCTTGCAGGCTCCTAATCCCCCCAGCATCAGATGCCCCCATATGCATAGGCTTCCCACACATGCAGCCCGGACACTCTCCCTTGTTCCCATCACATCCCTTGCACACTTGCCCCAAACACCCGATCCACGCACCCTTCCCCTATTCCACCCACACCCATGACCCCACACTACTCCCTGCGCACCCACCCGCTCCCCAGACACCTCCTGTTTTACCAGAATCCACCTTTACACACCTCCCCCATAACATCCCCAACCCACCACACACTTGTGCACACTGAACCACAAAGAATATTCTCCTCACCCCACCATCCCCCCGGGGGGCGCCCAAGCCTCTCGCCTTGACTCCAAACCTGGCTTGAGCCGATTTCCTCGCTAACGGTTTGCCTCCCCATCCCCAACGCCAGGACCCGCGGGAGGGGCTGTGCCCCCCACCTCCGCCTCTCACTCACCGCCCACGGCCAAATGCTGGGACCTCCTGGGCCTCCTGCACCGACGCCCGCCCCGACCCCGCCGCCCGGGGATGGGGAAGTCAGTGCGCCCCGCGACCGGTTCTGCTCCCCTCTCTGCGCCCCGGGCCCGCAGCGCGCGGGGGTGGGGATGGGGGCGGGGCGCGGGCTCCCCGGCTCCTCCTTCGCGGTGGTCGGGGAAGGGGCCTTGAAGGCCGACGTCAGCGCCCGGGCCGACCCCTGCCTCCCCGGGTGCGCGGGAGCAAGCGGGAGTCTCCGAGGACGGCAGGCTCTGAGCCCCCCCCGAGGCCAGGCCCGAGCGCAGCGGGGCGGAGGAGGGGGCGCCCCCGATCCTCCAGGACCTTCCTGGCTTGGCCCCGCCTCCACCCCCACTCTCCCTCCCCTCCCCAATAATAATAACAGCAGCAATGACGGCTAACTATGTGTACTGTTGTTAGTGCTTCCATACACACGTAGGCATTTATTCTTCAGAACGACCTCGGAGGCACCATCATGTATTGCCCTGTTGTGCACGGGAGGATACAGGCGCGGAGAGGTGAGGGCCTGGCCTGAGAGCACGCTGCCAGTTGCCTGAGTGCAGACTATCTCCGCCCCTGCGTTAGATGCTTCACGCTCATCATCGTGTTGATTCCTCTCAGGAGCTCTCTTTCTGTCCCTATTTTGCAGATAAAGAAACTGAGGTTCAGACATATGCTCACTTGGCTAAGGTAACAACTGGAACCAGGCCCGGCAGATTGAAACCCAGGGCTGTATTCCTTGCAGGCCTAAGAGGCAGAAATTGGGGTGGGGGCTTCCAGGGAGAGGAGGCAGAGGTGGGAGTGATAACGCTGGTTATCAGGTGGTACAGGTGGTGGTTATGAGTCAGTGTTTGGACCCACACAGACCTGAGTTCCTTTCCAGGCTCTTCAAGGCACTTGCTGTGTGACTTCTGCATAATGGCGTCACCTCTCTGAACCCCAATGTCTTCATCAGTAAAACGGGGTAAATTCTCCCTGCCTCTTAGATGTGATAACATACATAAAGCACTTAGATTGGTGTGATAACAAATGTCTGCCATTTACCCAAAGCCTGGCAAAGTAGGCGCTCTGAACGTGGTTGATGATGTTTGTGAATATGATTATTATATCCATCTCCTTCAGTCTGACTGGGGGACTCTCTTCGCCCTGCAGGCCTCCACCTCCTTCAGGGAGCCCACCCAGCTTGCACTGGCTTCCCTTTCCCAGAAACCCTCTGTCTCAGCAGTCCCAGTCAGCCAAACGGAGGATTCCCCTGCCGACGTGGGGCCAGGCAGAGTTCCCTCGCTCCAGGGCTCCAGGGCTCCGTGCCAGAAGACCAGACGCTGGAGCTGGCACGGGCCCCGTTCCCGGGGAGAGCAGATGGCGTCTGCAAGTGCACTTGGCTCAGCCAGAGTTTCTGGCAGACAACAGAGGCGGGGAGACCCAGGGGAGGGTAGATGAGAGGGAAAGGGAGCAGGGTTGTTTTATCCGGGAGAGAGAACCTGTTACTCTCTATCTCCTTAACCTTGGCTTATCACTATGAAACATGATATATTTCTGTTTGTAGTTGGAGTGTCAGCTCCAGGAGGGCTGGGATTTGACGTCTTTTGTTCACTGCTGTGTCACAGAGCCTAGAACAGTGCCTGGCATAAAGTGGGCCTTTATTACATATTTGTGGGGTGAGGGCATGAATTCCCACCAGCCTCAGTTTTTCACCAAATCTCTGAGCTCTATGGGTCTCTTCGCCCTCTAGGCCACCTAAAGATTCCTTCACTTCCAGTTAGATCTCTCTGGCCACCATCAGCCTTGTACAGTGTCCCCAACCCCACCCGTTTCAGGGGGTCACAAGAGGCCCGGGACTCTTAACGTTTGTGATGGTCCTGGGATATTAAACACGAGGTTCCAGCTGGGATCATCAACGAAGCTTAAGCCATTGAGAGAAAGTCTGACTAGAAACAGGATATTTATTTAGTCTCAAAGTATCTTCCCACAGATGACTTATTTATTACAAAAGAAAACAAATAGTCTTACTGGAGAATACCAGCAGCCACCACCTTAGCCAAGTGACAGAAGTTAACGTCACCAGTATTGGGGCACATCGACATCACGTGCCTCCAGATGTGCACCAAGAAGGACACACATCATTTCTGTAGTTTTCCTGCCAAAAAAGCATCATCTGAATCTAATCATGAGAAAACGTGAGACAAAGCCAAATTAAGGGACACTCTATAAAGGAGCAGGCCTGTACTCTTCAAAATGTCAGTGTCATGAAAACCAAAATAATAACAAGAAAATTAAAAACCTGGCAGGTCTGTTCTAGATTAAAGGTGACTAGGGGATGGCCCGGTGGCATAGTGGTTAAGTTTGCGTGCTCTGCTTCTGTGGCCGGGGTTCACGGGTTCCGATCCTTGGCACAGACCTACACACCGCTTATCAAACCGTGCTGTGGCGGCGTCCCATATACAAAGTAGAGGAAGATTGGGACAGATGTTAGCTCAGGAACAATCTTTCTCAAGCAAAAAGAGGAAGATTGGCAACAAGTGTTAGCTCACGGCCAATCTTCCTCACCCAAAAAAATCAATAAAAAATTAAAAAATAGATTAAAGGTGACTAAAGAAACATGACAATTGGGGCCGGCCTGGTGGTGTAGAGGTTAGGTTCGCACGCTCCGCTTCAGCAGCCCAGGGTTCACAGGTTCAGATCCCGGGCGCGACCTACACACTGCTCATCAAGCCATGCTGTGGTGGCATCCCATATACAAAATAGAGGAAGATTGGCACAGATGTCAGCTCAGGGACAATCTTCCTCAAGCACAAAGAGGAAGATTGGTTGGGCCGGCCCCGTGGCTTAGAGGTTAAGTACGTGCGCTCCGGTGCTGGCGGCCCGGGTTCGGATCCCGGGCGC